GAAAGCAGTTCATCACCCTGCAAAGGTCTGAAGGGAAGTACAAAACTTACCCACAAAGGACATCAATTTTCATCACATACTCAAGACTTTACCCTAGGACCACACACAACCCCAAATTCAGCACCATAACCATCTATCCCAGAGGCAGAGAACTGCACCATCTTACTTCATTTTTGTTGTTTTGTTGTTCTTCTCCTTTGCTTTCCACCTTGCAGACACAGCTTCCAGCACTCTTGCTTCTGTCTGGACTGTGGAGAGCAGTGTTTTTTCAGAGCAGTACAGCCCCAAGGGCAGCTGAGTGAACAAAGATACCAGCACTGAAACACTGGCTGCAGAGGAGAAATAGCCCCTCAGCAGGGCCCCAAAAGCTGAGTGATGAGCACCTGCAGAGCCCAGCCAGCTGGGACATGGGAGCAGCTGATGGGCTTCTCAGGGCCCTGGCTCGCCAGGGCTAAGGCAGAGTCTCCAGGAGAGCAGGCACCATGTGCTCCCCATCACCAGGAGGCAAGTGCACGTCTGGCTTTCTCTGCTGAAGTGTGTCTGCAAGGGAGCCACCTCCTTGAGCAAACCATCCTGAGGGAAGAGGGGTGAGGAGGAGGCTCAGTTTTCCCCCCAAAATCCCAATACCTGTACTGACAGAGGCATTCTGAGTGGGACCTTTGCAGAGGAGGCTGTCTCGTGGTCCGATGATAAAGCCGTCATTGTAGAAATGGGTTTAAGCTGAAAGAGGGGAGGTTTAGATGAGATATTAGGAAGAAGTTCTTCACTGTGAGGGTGGTGAGACACTGGAACAGGTTGCCCAGAGAAGCTGTGGCTGCTCCTCCCTGGAAGTGTTGAAGGCCAGGCTGGATGAGGCTTTGAGCAACCTGGTCTAGTGGAAGGTGTCCCTGCTGCTGGCAGGGGGGTTGGAACTGAATGATCTTTAAGGTCCCTTCTAACCCAAACCAGTCTGGGATTCTATGATTCTATGATGATCCAAACCATAAAAATCTGTGAGTTTGAAACCTGCTTTTGTCCTAAATCACTAGACTGAGAAATAACACATACAAAGAAGAAAAAAAGAAGTGAATGAAGTTCTGTTTGTGGGATTTTGGAGCTAATATAAAAATTCTGGCCCATTACAGTTAACAGCTTACTCCTCTGTGATGGGTGAGCAGGGCTCTGGTCCTCCAGGGTGAAGAGAAGGAGCAAGGCCCAAGCTGAGCACTCAATGCCTTTTCTCTACCTCAGGCTCACAAAGCAATGCTAGCACAGACAAGTCAGCACCTGCAGTCATCCACATACATGTATTTTTTAAATGCAGAGATTGTAAAATACTTCCTCCCTGGTGCAGGAAGGAAACTATTCAACTATTCAATACTATTATATTAGGTAAAGACATCTTTCTCACCTATCTACTGCTATTTCAACCATGTGTGACATAAATTCCAGTCAAAAAAACCCCTGATGTTTCACTCTGTAATACACCCATTCAAATTTCCAGCAAACACACAGATTTTCATTTCTTCTTCCTTCCAGTGATACATTTGATCTCCCTCAGTCTCTGGGATCACTGGATCTCCCAAGGAATACGACAGCTGAGTACAGAGAGGTCACACTTCACAGAGGCAGAAGTAAGTAACCTGCATAGCTAAGCAGAACACACACTGTTCAGAGAGGTCACATAAAGGCCAAGCCAATTTTGGGAACATGCTAATAACCTGAGTTTTTACACATATGTAATCATATGCCCCAAGCTGCTGTAATTCTTTATTACGTTTGCAGCTGTTGTCTTCCTCATGAATTGATCAGCTCGCACAGCTCTCGGGTAGCTGTTCTGAATGCAGCTCAGCCATGCGAGGGCTGGGGGGGGTTGGGCATGAAGAAGCGAAGGGAATAAATAAAAGCTACTTAACTTTCTTGGGGAAGAAAAAAAATAGGAAAGAAAAATCATAGAATGAATCATAGAATCCCAGACTGGTTTGGGTTGGAAGGGACCTTAAAGCTCATCCAGTCCCAACCCCCCTGCCATCAGCAGGGACACCTTCCACTAGACCTGCTTGCTCAAAGCCTCATCCAGCCTGGCCTTCAACACTTCCAGGGAGGGGGCATCCACAGCTTCCTTGGCAACCTGTTCCAGTGTCTGACCACCCTCACAGTGAACAGAATGTGTCTGTTCAACTGAGAATTCAGGGAAGCTGTTGCTGCTTTAAGAAAGTATAAGAGGCTGTAAAGGTACTGTCCAGGGCTGAACTTTTTTCACCAAGACCTCTTTTGTGTAAGTGGATACACGTGCTCTTATTCTCTGTCTAGGTTACCCAGCCAAATACAGTGGAAGGAGCATTCCTGAAGATGGGAACTGAGCCTTCTAGAAGCCAGACCCATTGAAAGAGACCAAAATTCCAGCCCAAAGCCATTGTGACCCAGTGGAAGCACATCCTCACCAGTGCCTGAGTCTTGGGTGGACGTGTTGGTTCAAGTTCAATCAGGAGCACTGTCCTAAGAAAAGGCAAAGGACGCAGCGCTGACTGTCCCTGCATTGCAGCTCCTCCTCAGACTGGCAGGGCACGTGCTGTGTGTTGGTAAGAGGTAAGAGATTCTTCTGGTTATTCTGGGAACAGACGAATGTGGAATTATTTACCGTAAGCCTTTCCTTTGCTTTGACCGGCTGCACTGAGCAACTATTTCTAACTCTCTTGATTGCTGACTGGACACAGTGCTGATGAAGACATGTTTTTTTACAACAAAGCGTTTCTCTTCTAATAGTATGCAAAGTCTTTCCTAAAACTTTCTTCATCAATTACCTGTCTAGAAAATGAAAAGTCGGTGTTAGAAACTGCCAGATCCTTAATATGATTGACTATGGCTGGTTTTAGTCAGCAAAAGGTCTCCAAGTAACAAATGGCTTGTCCATTTATTCTCTGACAAGAAAAACTGTCGAGGCTTGAATATCATTTACGCTCAAATCAAATGCTAACACTCATGGAAAACTCTGGGTTTCGGTGACTCCTGATGTGCCCCACTGGGGCACGGAGAAACGTATCGCACTTAACACATACGCTGCGTAACAGAGCTGCAAGGCGCTGCCTCTCATCGCTGTGCTGCCTCTTCATCTTGCCAGGCCTGTAGCTGTGAGATCTGCATTAACTGCAATGACAAATGGCATCAACATGTGTTTCTCAGTTGGCACTTCCCCGCTAAGTGCTTATGAAACTGTTAATGATGGAAAACAAAAGATGGATGGAAGAAGATCACTTTTACAAAATGATTTTTGTAGAGAAAACAAAGCAAAGCTTTGATGTATGCAAACTCCCAGATATCCCGTATCTTACAGCTGGGGGACAGCAATTATTATTCCCTGGTAAAAGGTCTTTATGGGATCAGATACAGAAAGATTTGCATTTTATTAGCAATAAGAGAATCCAAATTAAAGGAGTGACTTGAAGTGGTAGAAATTTGCCTTGGGATATAGCAAATACAGAACATCTCCCCTCTCACCATATAGGTGGTGTTTACAAGATTTTAAGATGCAGTTCAAACAAATATTTTACAATATAATACAATTGTTGATTATGGCATAAAAAGCCATAAGATTTGATTTCTCTTTTTTTTTGTGTGTGTACACACTGATCAAAGTAAGATCGACTGTAGAAAAGAACAGATTATTAAACTGCAGTCTAGTAAACATCAATATATTGTAGCTATATTTTTCCTTTAAAACATTTTGCAGAATAATTATAGCTAGAACAAAGGAAGCTCAGAAAATTTCAACACTAGAGCTTTTCTGGGAGGGGAAAAAAGAAATGAAAACATCCATGAAGTTCTGATACTCATTTCTAAATTCTAACAAATACTTCGATTATACTGTGCTTTGCCACATCTGGCCTTCAACTTTGGACCTCATCCAGTTTCCTGTAGAACGAGAGGAAATCTAGCTCAAAATTGAGGTTGTGCTCTTTTCTAAATGGCATCATACAAACCTCCCATTTAACGAGCATTTTCCTCTGCGTCGTTTCGCAACATGACTGAAGTAACGCTCCTGAAGAAGAGAAGCAACTCTCCTTTTGTTTGTTTAAAATTCCAAGTGATTCCTCAGCAGCACATCCAAGCTTTAAAATAAGGAGCAGTTACTGATAATTTCATTATTTCCATGTTTCCCCTTGGACATTCCTTTAAGAATTATAAAGTGTTTAATCTGCACTTACAGTTACCTAAACTATAGGCTCCGGGGAGATCTTATAGCGGCCTCCCAGTACCTGAAGGGGCTCCAGGAAAGCTGGGGAAGGACTTTTCATAAGGGCAGTTAATGACAGAACAAGGGGAAATGGGTTTAAGCTGAAAGAGGGGAGGTTTAGATGAGATATTAGGAAGAAATTGTTTGGTGTGAGGGTGGTGAGACACTGTCTGTCCCAGGTTGCCCAAGGACGTTGTGGCTGCTTCTCCCTGGAAGTGTTGAAGGCCAGGCTGGATGAGGCTTTGAGCAACCTGGTCTAGTGGAAGGTGTCCCTGCTGCTGGCAGGGGGGTTGGGACTGGAGGAGCTTTAAGGTCCCTTCCAACCCAAACCAGTCTGGGATTCTGTGATTCTAAACAGAATGAGTCTGGATGGAGAGGAAGCCCCGCACCTGTACAGAAAACAAGTGAAAATGGCAACGTGAGCTTTTCCCCTAAAGCATGACATGCTCTTAAGGCCTCGGTCTGGCAGATATTTAGCATACGAGTAGTCCTATGAAACCAAGACTCAGTCATAGGCTTTTTCACTGGTGGAGTTTTCTTTTATTTATATATATATTTTTAGGCAACATATTATGAAAGTTGGAAGAAGGAAAATCAACCGGTAATATGAGGTGAGCTAACAGTCTGTGTACACGTGCGGCCTTCGACACAGCATCTCCACGCAGAGAAACCTCCGGGAAGCCGGTGGCTGAGCCAAACCTTAAGTTTGTGTCATAAAGAGAAATCGCTCAAGGTTTTTTTCCCTTCGTGGTAAAATCCAGTACTCCCAAGTGAACATCTTCCCTCGCTAGTGCAATACCCTGGAGATATGACTAAACCTAAAGAATAATTTCAGAGAAAAGGTTCCAGCATTTAACACAATGTATGTACTGCCTTTCTAACCCTTCCCTCGCTCATTGTCAAATGATGATGTCAAGAATTACATAAGAAAACAAACAAACAAAAGATTAAAATTAACTTAATTTACACAAAAAATAAAAAAGTTTAAAGCAATGATAGAAAAATAATATAAAGGCTAGATACATGAAATGCCACTTCAACAGTATTAAGCTTTGGTAGAACAGTTAAAGAGCATAGCACCAATAAAATCCAGCGTCAGTACAGGCTTCAGTACGCGTGAGCTGTGATGAAAATGTAAATTTTGGCAAGAAAAGTAGTGTATGTTCCCTGACGCCACAGTTTCATTTCAACATCTAACAAAAAGTCTTTAGGCTCTTTCACTTGCCGCTGAAGATAGACGATGCCCGTGTACGAGTTCAGCCTTCGCGTGCTGAAGTAGTTTTCTTCATTCCCCTTGTTGATAGTAAGGACGATGTTGTCTCCAGCATAGGCAGGCGATGGTCCAATGCGGAAAATATGAGCCGGGACCACGATATTGGTTTGGAAGTTCAGCTGGTAATAGGTGATGCGCACTGGGGTGTTTTGGCAGTCCAGGTAATTGAAACAACTGATTCGTTCACACCTCCTAAGAGACCAGAAGGGAAGCACATTCAGTGTCCATGTAGTAGCAGGCAAAAGTATGTGTACTGCAGAGTATTGCAAAGGTATGTGACAACCAGGAGCCCCAACTTCAGCTGTGTCATTACCAGCTGCTTGTTATTCTTTTACAGTGCCCATAAAGCATTTGTAAACAATGTAATTGTCAGAGTACAACAGTGTCAGAAAAAGATCATGGACAGGGAGAGCTGTGTTGGGAAGCTCCACAATGAGGAAAGAGCCAGAGCCACGCTGCCAGCAGCACAGAGCTGGGAAGAGGAGTCTGTGATTCCTGACTGACAGCAGACCCTGGACAGAGCTCCACAAAAATAAAACCAATCGCACTTAAAAAGGTAACTAAACCATGGGAATGTGAAACAACCTCCTCAGCCTGGGGAGCTGCTCAGTTCTATAAGGCAGGAGAAGTATTTTATGTCATAAGCGACCCAATATGGCTTCCCAAAGCACCCGCAGCCATCAAGGCAGGAGATGGGCAGGGAGATTCTGGGGCTCCCCAGCTTCAGCTGCTGAGGAGCTGGGAGTTGCCGGGATGTGCAGCTCATTATCCTGCTCCCCCTCAACATTTCAACAGGAATTGCAATCTGAATGTTAAACAGAGAGCCCCAAACCCACTGCAGAAGTGGTGCCCTGAGCAGCCTGGCAGCCACTGCAATGATCCAAGCAGCACAGATCTTCTTTTTTAAAAACTTCATTACAAACAGAGCCCTTTTAGGGCTGCAGCAAGTGGAGCTGCAAGCTCTGACGACTGCTGGTACAGCAGCAGCTGGAGGGCAAATGGGGCTCCAGGGATTGGAAGAAGGAGGCAAAAACAGACAGAACTTCTACATGGGGGAAGAAGTTCTTCTACTATGTGCTCCAGGCACCGAAGCATCTTCATGGAGCTCTGAGCCCTTACACCCACCCACAAACTAAGCACTAGGTGACACCCGCAGCCGCTGGACGGCTGTCCCTGTGCTGCGAGGGCTGCACTTACATGTCAGAGACTTTCCTGTAGTTGGACGGGCACTCGAAGGACAGGCAGCGGAAGCTGCCCTGGATGTTATAGCAAGTCTCTGCAGCTGAACAGTTATGGGTTCCTATTGCACACTCATCGATATCTGACAAGAAGAAACACAAGGGAAAAGAGAGGCTAAGTTCCAAAATAACAAGTAACCACAGTTTGGGGGCTGTAATGTGCTTATGAGACTCTGCACATGAGAAGCAGGAGGAGTCTGGGTTTGGCTCTGCAAGCCGCGGGCTCATCTCCACTGCTCGGCCGCTGTGTCACCTGTTCAGTACCTGCGGCTGCTGCCTTCAACCAGGACTGCGAGAACCCCGGAGGGAACACAAGATGCACACTCAGGTGCGGTGTGTCAGGTTCAGCTCTGAGCACAGACACTTTTGGCACTGGAGTGACAGGGTAAATCACATTGATTCCAATTCTCCTAAAATTCATACGTCTTCTGTGCAAAATATTTTCCTTCCTTGACATTGTCAGTTAATAAGAGATGATCGTACCGCTCAGCAGCGTGTGCAATAAACAGGGGAGCCCACTCTTCCCTACAAGCAGCTGGTGACCCTTTTCATGCTGTTTGATAGTCCTTCCCCTGCTCGTGGAGAGCGTGGCCAGCTGCAGCCGCCCAGCACGTGGCAGGACTGGCCTTTTGCCACCGGGGCAGGTTGCTCCTTTACCTGTGCTGTGCAAACGCTGGCCCACTGCTGTGAACCTCGCTGTCCTCATTCCAAACACACCTGATGCAACACAGGGTTTAACATTCAATGGAGAAGAAATAGGAGAAGGAAAAAAAGTTCTCCAAACCCAAGATCCTCCTGTCTTGCCACTTCCCACTGCAATCAAAACCAAACACCAACACACCTGGTTCAAACCAAACATGAACACCTAAGACAGAATCGCCTGTGTTGTCACATTCTCCCTTGCTCCTCAGGTGTCAGAGATGCGCTGAGTGACATCAACCAGGCTGAAAGGAAACAATAAACTAGACAGCAGTAGCCTCAGGCACTGGAACCCTAAACTTCTCAGAGCAGCCAAGCTGTCCATCCCCACAGCTGCTGTGTGAGCTTTCCACAGCTGTTCTGATGGAAGATTAGTTTTTAAATAGTTTCCTGAAAGTGATGGGCCAATTTTTACAGCTTCATGGGTCACTGGTACTCCCTGAAGCACAGTTTCATGCTTAGAGCTCGCCTATGTCACGTGAGGTGTTTCTAAACAAGCGTGGTGCTCATATGCTGCTCAGCGTGCGCGCAGCGTGCGGGCGATGAGCTCGATAGCTGGGGAAGCAACTAACTGGTTTCAAAGAGCAGAGCACGAGTGTGGACTTGTGCAGGGTGTGGACAGTTGTGTGCAGCTGGAGTAGGAGGGACAGTCCTTGGTGAAAGGTGGCCACTGCTACAGATGGCTCATCCGCTGCATAACCTGTGTGATCACAGTGGCATGGACAAGGCTGCACAATGTCCCCCTGTCCCACGCAAACAAACATTCCCCCATCGCCCAGTCTGCAGAGGGGCCTCCCCCGCTTCAGAGCAAACACACGTCATGGATGGAGGGACACCCTGGGTCTGCCTAGACATCAGCTGTTCACAGCCTATTGTGGCAAAGCTGTCCCTCAGGAATTAAAAAACCCCACCAGAATGTATCAACCCATGTTAAAAGCCACCAGGACCTTCTCATCTCACTGGCTTTTTGAGAACTGAGAAGGCTGGGAGAAGAAATCTTCAGGAGAAGAATTTATCTATGCATGAAGGCTGCTCTGGATTAAAGCAAGGGCAAATACAAGGCAAAGCAACCACTGCTGTACAGCTGCACGATCCAGGAGATGCAATCTCCACCAGACTATTCTGAAATATGGGAACTTAAAACCAACACTTTAGAACAAGGCACACATTTTTGAAAATTTAATTTAAATATAAATATCCCCCTGTAATGAGAAGTAATGTTGCAGAAGACAAAAAAGAACACTTAAAGCTCAAAGACACTTTATGGTCTAGAGCATAAAGATGGTTACCTAAATAATATATATGCACAAGCCCAAGCCATGGACCTGGAAATGCTGAAAACCAGATGCAATAACAAGGATTCAGCCTGAGCAGAAAATATTGGCAAAGCTCTCCCAGTCACATTGTGTACTCCCAAATGTCTAGACAACACACGGAGTCTTTAAAACGAAATAAATGCTAACAGACAAACCATGTGGACTGTGTAGGGCTCCACGCTCCTGCCAATTGTCACAGAGGAGAGAGGCTCTTAGAGGAAAACTGTAACCTCCCACTCCCTCCACTCCCCTGGGATGAGAACTGATCTCATACACTCAACTGACGGGTTTAAAAGTCTTGCAAAGAAAAGTATACAATAGGAAGTAGAAAGGAATCAAAGTAAATTAAATCCCTTGCTGATTCTCAGAAGTGCCCCTAGGTGAAAAGAAAATTTCTTCCACATTGCAGTCAGCATCACGAAAGCCCTCACTTCACCAGCTTGGCTGCGCTGCAAAATACCATCGGCGGTTTCTCCAAGAAGATCCATATGTTGAGACGCTATTACACGAGACACAACTCGTTTGTTTGGGAAAAAAGGCACAAAGTATGTACCACCAGTAACTCTTAGAACCAGTCAGATGATGAGCAGCTGGAGCCAGGGCTTTAGCTGGTGGAAACCAACATAGTCTTCTTGAGTTTAGTGCAGCTGACATCAATTCAGACTGTTTCTCTGACTCCTTTTTCAGAGTCCTCAATATATAAGCCCACCCAAACTTGTAGCTACAAACTCACAGAGCTCAAAAAAAAGGCACAGACCCCTGAGTTACTTCCAGCACCCGACTCACCGCCCGCTGACCCAGCCACGCACTGAGCTGCCGCACACGCGCAACGTTTTGCACGCAGACTGACCGTGCCCTCTGAGGAGGGCGCAGGTACCCGGTGGCACAGGCACTTCGAAAAGCTTTTCCAAGTGTCGCTGTACAGCTCCCTCAGCCAGGCCAGTACAACAGGAACCCTCTCCACACAGGGTGAGTGTGCAGGGAGGACTTCACACCACACACACAATGCCAGAGCGACCCACAGGTCTGAACCTTTGTCCTCCACCTCCAGTGTCTGAAGCATGCTGGGTGCCTCTGGCTCCAGAGAGCTGTGCTGGCCAATTAACGCGGTGACTCACACTATTAACTCTGGAAGACCTCCTCATCTCAAATCTCACTGCTGGCAGAGGTGGCAAGTAGCGTGCCAGCACTCAAAGTGAGCAGGGGAAAAAAGAAAACAGAGCGGGAGGAGAGTTATAGCTCCAGTTTTCTAGAGGTGACTTTTACATATGAATTTAAATGCACATGGATATAACTGCATTCTGAAGTCATACTTAAAAACACATTAAAACAAAAAAAGCTTTTGAAATCTTTTAAAAATAATTTCATTTTCATTTAGTCTGTTTCTCTGCTCCAAAGTCAGGATCAAGTATGTTCGTGCCATTTCTGATTTACATGGTGTAAATTCACTGCCATTACCACTGAGAAGAAAATGTAAGCATAGCAGATATGTAACCAAAAGTTATGTGAAGGGTTCCTGAAAAAATAAGAGCAGGAAA